GCCTCTGCTCAACTGGGTTGCCATTGGCTTTGAAGTTCCCTTGGCACTCTCAGAACTCGCTGTGATTGGACTATCTTTTGACCCAAATTAAAAACCGCTTAATGTTGCAAAGTCCATTTTGCTGTTATTATTACGTCAGTAATACCTTCAGTTAACAATGTAGTGTGGCTATGGCGTGAGAAATTACCTCTTTACCGAGATCGTAACCCTAACCCTAAGCATAACTTCATTAAACTACAAATACCAGCGCCACTTTTTTTTTTGCGTTCTAGCGATAGAATGGCAGAGGCTTATGGGTAATGTAGTTTAAAATGTTTAATAGTAAAATGAGGGAAAATACAATCTTTTTGAACAAAGGGTCATCTAAACACGTTCATTGTGCAAACATTTATGACATATTTAAGAGGCAGGCTGAAATTTGGTATTTTACTAAGAGCACTTTTTTAAACACCTTTATACCACCTTTCCATATATGTTTGAAAACTCTGTCCAACATTATTTCGTTAACATAGCATAAGTAGCTGTCCTGCCAAATGTATCTTTAAAACTATAATCAGACTTTGATTTACAGCCATTTGAAATATTCAATTTTTTGCTCTTCCAGGGGACTCTACTGGGCCCCTGGGGATGGAAGTGCAGTAAAACATACACAGATCTATTCTCATCATGGACAACAAACTGTGCCGAGTCACATTTTTAAGATTGTCTTTTCAGCAACTTGCCAATATGTAAGTTGCAAGTCATGGTTATCTTTGAATAAGATTAGACCCACAAAAATATCTACATCAGTGCCCATTTGGAATGGGCACCATTTATTTAATTAGATCAGGAGCAAGAATACAGTGTTGACAGTAAACAAAGACACCAATTTAAACAACCAGTACATACTGATACTTCATTGTACTATCACACAATGTCAATGTGTCATTCAGTAAAACAAGGTACAGACAGTGTGTGGTTTATGATGCAAAAGCCATACGATTCATGCAATGCAAAAAATCTTAATATAAAATACCTAATTTGTGTCTCTGTGTCAAATATTCCTCATCTTTGGCCTCCTCAGGTGCTAAACATCAGTAATGTGCATGCTCATCTTTTGTTGGAGGTATGGGTCAAAAGAATCCCTCCACAACTATCTTTCAGTTGTGAAATTTACTTTTATGGGCCGTAACATCTGCGCTGTCACAGTAGAGCTGTTTGTGAATGCAGTCTTCACAGCAGATACCTGATGGGTTCAGGCAGCAGTGCAGTACTTGGTGGCCATTGAATTGATATCTTCATCAACTGGCTTCATCTTCCTTCACACAAACAGACAAAACTATAAGTCAACATTAACTCCAGGTAGGAGCTATGAAAAGATGCATATGTGAAAAAGGATTTGTTTTGAAGAGTCTTTTGAGAGATCAACATCAATGCTGTACCACACATAACTGCATTGAATAGAGACATACCAATGCAAATGTGCAACTTTTCACCTGTCAGTACTCACCATATTCAGTCATTTTCTGCCCAAATCCCAGAGATGATGCACAGCTGATTTGCTCATTCTAGGAGCTATAAAATATATGTGAAAAATGATTTGTCTTGAAGAGTCTTTTGAGAGATCAACATCAATGCTGTACCACACATAACTGCATTGAATACAGACATACCAATGAAAATGTGCAACTTTTCAGCTTTCTGTCTTTTCTGTTTGTGCACAAGAAGGCCATGTTCATTCCTCATTCATCAGGACTGGTTTGACTGGCTTGCTGTGACTGATTTTCTTTGTGTTTTTGGTCTTCAGCTGTAAAACAAGAAAATATTTATTGACCCCATGTTTCATTATTATTGTTGTTTAAACATATAAATTAAGCAGTTATAATTATATACTTCAAGCTCAAGTTCCCTGGCTCTCGCAGGCTCCTGAGTTCATCTGTATACATCAGATTCAGAGTCTGAGAAAAGGCCATCATGCAAAGTCTCAGTTTTTACCTTACAACAGAGCATAAAATAATGTGTAAGTGAGTGAGGGAGTAAAGGAATAAGATGAAAAGAAATAGGCAGAGAAAGGCAGAATTGTGTGTGTAATTTTAACAGAATGAAAGGAACATTTCAGAGTTAACATTTTATGACACAGAGGAACAATATCGTTGGAATCTCTTTCAGAACAATTATTTTTTTCCAGCTGATGAACAATAAAAACATTGACAGCCAATCAGAATCCACCAAACTTTAAAGAGCTTGAGCATTTTATGGCAGACAACATAACCACAGCGCATGCTTATAATAAACAGAACAGTATCGTCTGTTGGTGTGGATGCTAAAATAGTTCTCATTATAGTTCTTGTTCTTGGTGTGAACAGCTTTAAGTGATCTGATTTGGCCAAATTAATTGAAGATCTGATTTGTCACGTGACAAGTTAAACTAGCATTTCCAGACTCTTGCTTCTTAGACAGATG